AGTAGAGACGGGGTTCCACCATGTTGACCAGGATGGTCTCGATCTCTTGACCTCGTGATCCACCCGCCTCGGCCTCCCAAAGTGCTGGGATTACAGGCTTGAGCCACCGCGCCCGGCCTTAGCTCCAGCTTTTCTAAAGCCGCTGTGGGCACGTGGCCCAGGAGGGCAGCCTAGTGATCCAGACCCCGCCTAGGACCGCCCTGGGAAGCCACTGTCCCTCCCACTGCAGCAGGGAACACCCACTGGCTGGGAAAAGACAATGTGGATACCCTTTTGGGCCAAGCGAGCCAGGAGGGCACACCCTCCCACTGCCCATCTCTGCCTTCCACCAATTGTCCCTCAGCTTGATGAGGCGTGACAGCTGCAATTAGAGGCAGAATGCCTTCCCGCCCTCAAAGCATTAATAGCAAGTTGGAGAGACAAAATAGTAAGAAAAGGCTCTTCTGCCTGCTTCCTAGACCCCTGGGGGGAGTGGAGAAAGGGGCGGAGAGCTCAACTTGGGGTTATGGGAGCACAGCCACCGTGGTTAAGGTCACCTTCAAATCCTATGCAGTGGATTGAAGGTGATGTTTAGTTTTTGGTGGGGGAAGCTACAGGAGGGAGAAAGGTGCTCATGCTTTTTGGGTTTTGTTGAGCACTCACTATTTGTCAGGTAGTGTGCATATCTCTGAAACTTAGAATGACTCTAGAAGGCATTGTTCTCCAGACACATCTATGGAGGTTATTAGGGGTCATGTAAACTGCCCAGATTAGGCTGCTAGCAAAGGAAAGGACAGAGATCCGAATAGAAGGTTGGGTTATCAGGCTCCAAAACCTGTCCTTTCCTTGCTACCTCTCTACCTGGAGTTTGCCAACTAAGCAAGCCCAGTCTGCTGGAACCAGCCCTTGCAAATCTTTTGTGTCTTGCCAGAGAATTCTAACATTTCAGTCTTGAGTGAGGGAACGTTGGCTATGGCTGCCTTTCCTTTGGAGGTGGTGGTGGTGGCGGGGTGTGTGTGTGTGTGTGTGTGTGTGTGTGTGTGTGAACGCACAGAAAGTGCATGTGAAGATTCCACCTACTGAATCATGAGAGGAGGAAGTCGTGGGCTGCTGGCTGGTGGAGAAGCCATCCAGCAAATTATTCAAGATGACGCCAGCTCCAAGTCCGGAATGAGTCTATGGGAAACCAGGGTACTTCTTGGACATTCATCTACAACTCACCTGTTTCGTGGACTGCTCTCAGTGGTTCAGATAAATGGAACAAAACTTTATGAACACCTCCCAACTTCAGGCATTGTGATAGAAACTAAGAGCAATGAAAAGGACCCAACTCCTGCTCAAAGGGATCCAGTGGAAAATAAGCAGACTTTGAACCATTGGTTAGCCAGAAGAGAAGCGGGGGACTGAAAATTATTTCAACTTGGGCCAGAACAAAAAATCAGGAAGCAACACTTGCTGCCAACATGATTGACAGGTGTCAGCACCTTCGCCTTTGTGTTATTTCCTTCCCCTACACACTGAAAGCGGTTGCTATTACTCTTGTTTACCTGGACAGGTTCAAAGAAGTTAAGCAACTTGTCCAAGGTCCCATAGTGGTAGAACTGGGATTGAATCGGTTCCAACTAACTTGCAATCTTGTGCTTTTCAGACAATCCCACAAATTGTCCATATCTGTTCCAAAGCCAAATCAAAAGGAACAACAACATCTGTCCTTCCATATTAGCCATGGTCCTGTGTGGATCATAAACGGCATGTTGACTGTCCGATGGAGACTTAATTTTCCCTTCCCTTTGGGCACCTGCCACAGCAGTGACAGGCTGTATTTTTCTGAAGTGGAGGGAAGAGGCGAATGGGAATGCCTAGGCCCTAACCATACAGGAAGGTGCAGGGAGAGGGAAGCAGTATGTCTGTGAGGAGATAGTGGAAATAAGCAGAGAAATCAAACAGCTTCATTCTTCTGGGGCTCACTTTATGGTTAATTAGCACATGCAAATGAGCTAGAAGCTCATTTAATACCCTCCCTGACATGTAGCCCCATCCCGCATCTGGCCCGCTTCCCTGGCAGGTACAAAGGCCACCTGATTGGTCCAGGTATCTGTGGAGGGTTCCACCTGCTGCTTTGTGGCCTAGGGAATAGAACAGAGCCTGCTGGGCATGGCCAGTAGGGCCTGCCTGGTCTCCTTCCTTTCTCTTCTCAGCCTTTCAGACCTGGGACCTCTCTTTTCCATCTCTCTAAGACACTTCCCCTGCACCCCATCCTTCAGGGTGATCTCTGAATCCAAATTTGCCCCAAGGAAGTTTCCTCTGTCCTCTCCACATCCCTAGCTCCTCCCCAGAGTCTTGCAGGGGAGAGGTTCCTCCATGTTTCCCAAGTCACACCATGGTTTCCTATGTGGCCTGGACAAGAGCCTGTCCCTACCTTCTCCAGAGCTGCCAGAAGCCACCTCAGATGCCTTCCCCATCCAGTGCAGTTCAGGCACTTCCGCCAGCAGCACGGTGTGAGCACTAGACTTTGAGTGAAGATTTGAGAGGCCTCTCTGTCACTGTGGAAGCTTGAGCATGTTGCCTGACCTCTCTGAACCTCATGTTTCTCATCTGTGAAAGCTGATAGTGTGGGGCTGCTGTGAGCTTTAAAGGACATAATGCACCTAAGGGCTGAGCACTGCCTGGAACACAGTGGAAGCTCAGCAGATACTGGACTACCCATCCCCTTAGTAGAAGCACTAACCATGTGACCCAAGGCAAAAGTGCTTTAAAAAAGTGCTTTCTCTGAGCATTGGTCTCTTCTTCTGTCAAAACATTTATATTGATTTAATATTTTGCAGGATTGCAGCAAGAATCAGAGAAGACAATAGGTGACATGTTTTTGTACACTGTAAAAATACTACCCACCAGATGGGCTGTTATTTGCTAAATGGCAGATTTACACTGTTCCCCAAGGGATGACATGCACTGGGGAGGTGGGGGAGGAGGTGTGGAGGTGAAGAGCCGAGCTGGAGAAAAGGTCCTTGAGGAGGACCCCACTGCCTAAGGACCTGCTCTAGGAAACATTCCCACCCCTACACCCTAGCTGCCCCTCACAGTCAACCCTTAAGGACCTCAAATTCTTGGCAAGGGGTAAAGGGTTGAAGGTGCCAAGTCCTAGTGGTTTTGACAAACAGGCCTCTGGTCTGCTCTTTCTGCTCTATAAAACCTTAGTTGCTAGAGTCCCCTGTAGCTCCCAAATCACTCCCTTCCTCCTGTCCTCCAGCCACCCTGGAAATGAATGGCCTAAAGGTGCTGTGGCTGCCCTCCTAAAATCCATTGCCTCCTGATGGGGTGGAGGCATCTGTGAAGCCTGCCTTCATGAGAGGTCTCAGGGCTCAGGATGGTGCTGCCAGAGAAAGGATGACTGAGCCAGAAAGGCCCAGGGGTAAGCTCAAACTGCAGTCATCCCCTTAGTACGATTATTAGGATGGCCCTTGCCTGCCTTCTGCCTCCTCTACTCAACTCCTAAAACAAACAGTGATGAAACCTCTCTTTCAGATCCCCTCTGAATTTGACAGAGGACTTACTTCCTGGCTTTCTACTCTTCAGTGAGTCCTGACATGTCACTGTCCGCCCCCCCCAAGCTCCAGATCCACCCCCCACCCCCGCCCAGTTCTGGAGCACACATGCACATGCACAGCATCACAATTAAGTCAGCCTTGCCAATGTCCCTGAAACCAAGTCCTTGCATGGTTACACTCTTATCCCCCACTGAAGTCCTTCTCGTCCCCGCCACCATGCACACACTTTCCCGGTCCCCTGAACGTGCCTCTGTGTTCCTGGTCAGAGAGGACACTGAGGAGCAGTGTGTCCCTGAACACAGCTTGGGGCAAT